CCCGCGACCCGACCCCGGATAGGCGGAAGAAAATGGATGGATGGATAATATAAACAATAATTAATATAATAATATAAACAGTAATATAACAATATAATCAATAATTGATATAACAATATAAACAATAATTAATATCATAATATAAACAATTATTATAACAATATAAACAATAATTAATATAACAATATAAACAATAATTAATATAATAATATTAACAATATTCTGCCACAGAAAATATTCTCATTTTGACTCTGAGGACTGTTCCATGGGTCAGCTGGGATTTTAGTGCTTTAGAATTAGGGGACCTAAATATAAAATTAGTGCTTTAGGATTAGTGCTTCACACCACTGCTTTTATCCAAATAAAACAATAAATGTGTCTTGTGTTGAGTCAGTATGATCTGTAAGTTTCAGCGTTTGATTTGTGTAAAATAACGATACTTTAATTATGTCTAACTCARTTATTTACTTTTATTTTCCGTTTATGTCGGTGCGACGGTTTCCTCAGCGTCCAAATGGAGTGGGTGTTCATCATGAACCGGGTGAGCTCTCAGGGCAGCTCCGCAGCCCAGCGGAGGAGGATGGCCCTKGGGGTGGTGATCCTCCTGCTGGTGGATGTCATCTGGGTGGCCTCCTCTGAGCTGACCTCCGTAAGGATTTTCGCCACATCAGCAGAAAAACCCAGGAGCCAGAACGAGCTCAGGAGACGCTAACTTGACGCGTTTAGTCTCTGTAGCTCCGACAGATCCAACGATCCTAATCTTAACGGTTTSTTCTTCCTCCTGCAGTACATCTTCAGGCGTCAGGAGTACAACAAGCCCTTCTTCAGCACCTTCACCAAGACGTCCATGTTCGTTTTGTACCTGCTGGGCTTCCTGCTGTGGCGGCCCTGGAGGCAGCAGTGCACCGGCACTTTGAAACGCCGCCGCTCTGCGTTYGTGAGTAAAACCAACCTGAGCAGTCCAGGAGAGAAACCGAGATGCTTTTATCTCAAAACCGCTGCTTTTATCCCGCAGTTTGCCGACGCTGAAGCCTACTTTGCACCCTGCACCAACGACAGCACTGTGAACAACTCTTTGGTGCGTAGTTTTACCTGTACAGGTGAGGAAATGTGCCCGTTGTGGAGCTGACGGTTTGTTGTKTTGGTGCAGAGTGAACCGCTGTACGTCCCGGTGAAGTTTCAGGATGTGCCGACTGATCCCTCCGAGCGTTTGAACGGAGACTGTGATTATTGTGAGTATGAAGTTGTTTTTAATTGTGAAAGCAGCTGAAGAAACAGGGAAAGAAGAGAAAACCCCTCTGTCAAAATCCAGAGCAGATTTTTTTTTCTAAATTTTCAAAATTTAAAAGCAGACAAACTAAACTGTGTTTTTTATTTTATTTATCATGTCAACATTAACCAAGGTTTGTTTTAAAGCAGGCTGAGAGTTTTTCCGGTTTTCACCAGCAGAGGGCAGTGTTGTCCAAATCACTAATAGTAATAATAATCTGTTTTTTAATGAGATCTCTGGTGTTCTGGGGATGATGATGGTGATGATGAAGGATCACAGTTGACACTAAAACAGTTCAGGCTAAAAAGCTAAAATGTGAGACAATAAACTTATTTTATATTTATTTTATGTTTTGCACAAAAACAAAACAATCACATGTAATGTTCAATAAATTAGCATTGGAGCTAACACATGTAAGGCTGCCACAAACACAAATTTCATTTTAAAACAGTAATATAAAAATGTATTTTTTCAGCTGAGAGTTCACACATTAAATTAACGTATGCTATATGCTGCTATATTCAGCTAACTGCTGAAATTTTAACTAATATTTAGCTGCTATTAGCTAAAGTTATCTTTTATAAGTTAAATACAAATTTTCTGTAGCTATTACAACTTTTTCAGCTAAGTTCTGCAAACTTAACTCCTTATGCTTTCTTATGTTAATTAAAACATTTCAGCTACTTTTTTAGCTTTTTACTGAAAATTTTAACTGTTTTATTTTACTACAAATGATCACTTTTATGTAATTTTATGATTTTTTTAGCTTTGTTTCTGTTTTAGCTATTTTTTCAACTAACTATTTCAACTGGGTGCTAATTTCAAATTGTGGCTGCTACCTTTAGCTTATTCTATGCTAATTTTAGCTATTTTATGCAACTTTAGCTATAGATCTGCTTCTTTCTGCTAGTCTTCTGTTTTTTAACCCTTTTCTGCTTTTTTTCTGCTACCCAGTGCTGTTTATTAGTATTTATTTACAGATATTTTCAGCTATTCAGATATTTTAGCTTTTAGCTGTTTTCTTTTTTCATCTAGATTTGTGCTCCTTTTTACTGTTTTTCTGCAATATTAGGATTATTTTGCTTTTTAAAGTGTTTCAAAATGCTGCATTAACACTTGTCCTATAAAATGTTTTCAGCATGAAGTATTCACTGTAGTATTTTTGCAGGAAATGCAGTTTCTCTAGTTTTACTATTATCATTACTTCCTTTTTTTTTCAATCTGACCAATCAGGGGCGGGGCCACCTCGAGACCCAGGTTTACTGCTCTGCTTCCTCCATCATCTTCATCAGTTTCAGGCTGATTTTATCTTACCTTCTCCCCTCGTGTCACTAATAGTCAGAGATCCCTTTAAAAGGAAATGTTTATTTTTTTCAGCATCCAAGAAGCACCGAGTGCGTTTCAGTAACATCATGGAGGTCCGTCAGCTGCCCTCCGCTCAGGCCCTGGAGGCCAAACTGTCCCGGATGTCCTACCCTGCAGCCAAGGACCACGAGGCCATGCTGCACACCGTGGGGAAGCTGACCATCACTGACGTGGCCAAAATCAGCTTCTTCTTCTGCTTCGTGGTGAGTACGAACGCTCCCGTGACTCTGTGACGACGAGCGGCGTCRCTGGCCAAAATGTGACGTCACTTCCTGTTTGTCCCCCAGTGGTTCCTGGCTAACCTGTCCTACCAGGAGGCCCTGTCCGACACGCAGGTCGCCATCGTCAACATTCTGTCGTCCACTTCAGGTGAGAAGAACCAGCCTTTTCCTTTTAGCTTTTATTTAAAGRGTCTGTGACGTCAAAACTTTGTAATAAACATTAATGCATTTTTAGAAAGATAACATCGATAAAATAAAGCAAAACAAATTTCACGTCACTGAGATGAACRGTTGTTGAGATATTTGCCTGTGAAGAAACAGGAAGTGATGTCAGAGGGGAGTGTCTGAAKGTAAACAGAGCGTTGTTACAACAGACTAGAGAATAATCTGATGTTTCTTTAGATTAGTTTAAGTCACTATGAAGGAGAGATAAAGAGGAGTTAAAGTTTAAATAATGTTGTTTTTAATAAACAGAGACCAGAGAGTTAATTTTGTTAGAGTTCTCCTGTGATGTCACTTCCTGTTTCACTTTGGCTGAGCCAAATTCAAAAGAAAATAGGCCATTTATGAGACAAAATGGGTAAAATCATGTGTTTTATGTCAATTTTCTTTAGAATAAAGATATTTTCTTTGACGTTTTGTATTTGAAGGATCGGCGTGTCTCAGGAACTTTAACAAACCCTCGSTTTCCTCCTCAGGTCTCTTCACGCTCATCTTGGCAGCCATCTTTCCCAGCAACAGCAGCGACCGTTTCACCCTGTCCAAACTGTTAGCCGTGGCTCTGAGGTGAGAGACGGTGACTCTGAGGAGTAAAAACCTTTAGAAACTCAGACGTCACAAAACGATTCGTCCTGTTTTCAGCATCGGAGGCGTGTCCCTGGTGAGTCTGTCCAGCATGGACGGTCCTGATGACAAGGGTGTTTTAGGTAAACCCTCAGATCTTTGCTCTTTTCAAGCCTCGTCCTGTTTTCATGTTTGTAACCGTCGGAGATGTTCCTGAAGGTTCTCTGTGGTCGCTGATCGGGGCGGTTCTCTACGCCGTCTACATCGTTATGATCAAGAGACGAGTGGACCGGGAGGACAAACTGGACATCCCCATGTTCTTTGGTGAGGAGTCSCTCAGCTGAGGACGGGACTGTGCAGAAGTCCTRATGCTTCTTTTAGTCACRTGAATGCTGAGTCAGCATTTTCCTGTTTTCTTTTAGAATCCAGTGTTTTAGCTGTTTTAGCTGTTCATACATCCAAAGGTTCAGCTGATTCTGGACATCGCTGCTGGGACTTTAGCTTTTTGTAACTTTACATATATTTTCCCATAGAAACACAAACACTAATAATTTTAATTTTTCTTTTTTTTAGCTTCTGTTTTACTGCTTTTAGCTTAAAACCAGAATTTTGCTGTAGTTAGCTTTTAGCTAGCTTTTGATAGTTTTAGCTGTTACGTTTAATTTTTGGTAACGTTTTGCTTCTTTAACTAATATTTTTCTACTTTTTAGATTTGAGCTAACCTTTTGCTCCATTTAGCTTCTTGATATTGTTTTGCCACTTTTAGCTTTTTGCTACTGTTTACCGTTGAGATAACGTTCTCTCCRTTAACTGCTAGCTACTGTTTCACTATTTGTAGTTTTAGCTTTTAATACCTGTAGTTTAGCTAATGTTTTGCTACTTTAATCTAGAATTTTGCTCTTTTGGCTTTTAGCCTTTTTCTTTGTTAGCTGGTGTTTTGCTAGTTTTGGCTTTTAGCTACCTTTTCAGTTAGCCTTTTGCTTTGTTCAGTTAGCCTTTTGCTTTGTTCAGTTAGCCTTTTGCTTTGTTCAGTTAGCCTTTTCGTACTTGTGTGTACTTTTTTAGCTTTTAGTCAGTTTTTGCTACTTTTAAAAATTGTGTTAGCATTTTATTTCTTAGCTTCTAGCTACTGTTTTACTACCTTTTAGTTTTAGCTACACTTATTCTAATTTAATCTAGAATTTTGCTCTTTTTGACTTTCCGTTAGCCTTTTCTACTTTAGCTTTAGCTAAGATTTGTTTTTGTTTATAAGAAACCATTTTCATCACACTTTAGCTGTCCTCGAGCTCATAAAGCTCAACATCTAATTAATTTATTTTTGTTTTCCTTCGAGCAGCCGGACTCGAGGCGGTTCTGATCTGTTTTTCCTGAGTTTTATTTAATCTTCGGCTGATTTTTAATGTTTCATGAGGAAGTGACGCCTGCAGGTGTKGCTGCAGCACGTGGCCTCAGCTGTCGTTTGTTTTTGTTGTTCAGGGTTTGTGGGTCTGTTCAACCTGCTGCTGCTCTGGCCCGGTTTCCTCCTGCTCCACTACACCGGCTTCGAGGCCTTCGAGCTCCCGAGCCAGCTGGTCTGGACCTACATCCTGATCAACGGTCTGATCGGGACGGTTCTGTCAGAGTTCCTGTGGCTCTGGTGAGCAGCTGCTCCACACCTCTGGACCAGGGATCAGTCAGATCTGTAACGTTTGGTTGGTTCTTCTCCTGCAGGGGCTGCTTCCTCACGTCGTCTCTGATCGGGACGCTGGCGTTGAGCCTCACCATCCCGCTGTCCATCCTGGCAGACATCTGCCTGCAGAAGGTTTGTTTCCCCCGCGTACAGAAACTGTTTTAATGTTTCACCTGAAACAGTCGTGTTCTTCCTCAACAGGTGCGTTTCTCCTGGTTGTTCTTCGCCGGAGCGGTTCCCGTCTTCCTCTCCTTCTTCATCGCGGCGCTGCTGTGTCACTACAACAACTGGGACCCGGTTCTGGTCGGGCTGAGGAGACTTTACGCCTTCGTTTTCAGGAAACACCGCATCCAGAGGTACAAACGAGACGCTGTTTTTCACCGAGACTTTGAGACGAGACGTTTTTATCCGATTATTCCTCTTTTGTTGCAGACTGCCTGAAGACAGCGAGCAGAGTGAAAGTCTGATTCCTCTGAACACGGTTTCTCCTCATGAAGGAAGCTTCTGCTCCTGATCCAGATCCAGAGGTCAGAACATGCTTATGTTAGCCCTCAGAGTGTCACTACCACTTTAAATACACTTAAAACATTAAATATTAAAAACAATCTCAGATTAGCAACAAAAAAAGACATGAAAACAGTTTAAAATTTAAATAAAGCCAATACAATTATTAAAATAGTGAATGAAAACAGGATGAGGATAACAAGCTAAAGCTAAGTGATGCTAAAAGTTGCAAACGGTATATAAAAATAGCTTAATCTAGCTAGAGGTAGCAACAGGCTATCTAGAAGCAGAAAGCTAGCAGAAAATTGCTAGGAACTAAATGTAGTAAAATGTTAGCAAATGTATGAAAATGCTAGCTAAAAACTAAAAGTAGCTAAATGCTAACAAAGATGTGATGTAGCAAAATGATAGCTAGGAACTAAATGTAGTAAGATGTTAGCTAARTGTATTAAAATGCTAGCTAGAAGCTAAAAGTAGCTAAATGCTAACAAAGATGTGATGTAGCAAAATGATAGCTAAGAACTAAATATAGTAAGATGTTAGCTAAATGTATGAAAATGCTAGCTAGAAGCTAAAAGTAGCTAAATGCTATCTAAGAAATAAGTTTTAAAAGGTAGCTACAAATATTAAAAACTTACTAAAATCTGATGTAGCAAAATAATAGCTAAAATATAAAAGCATCRCATGGTAGCTGACTTTGGCAAAAGCTCAARTTTTCTAAACATAGCTAAAAAAGRAAAAGGCTCTCTAGAAGCTAAARTAGYGAAATGCTAGCTAAAATGTGATTTAGCAAAATATAGCTAAGAACAAAATGCAGTAAGATGCTAGCTGAAAGTATCAAAATTCTTACAAGACGATAAAAATAGCAAAATGCTACCTAAATACATGTTTCAAAGGGTAGCTAAAACTAGCAAAATCTAGCTAAAATCTGATGGATCAAAATGATAGCTAAATTCTAAAAGCATCACATGGTATCTAAAACTGGCAAAAGCTCAAAACAGCTAAAGACAACTAAAAAAGCAAAAGGCTATGTAGAAGTTAAAAAAGAAAAGTCACTATCAAGATGCTAAAGTAGCAAAATGCTAGCTAAAATGTGATGTAGCGAAGTATAGCTAAGAACTAAATGCCGTAAGACGCTAGCTGAATGTATCAAAATGCTGTCCTAGAAGCTAAAGTGTCAAAAGATAGTTAAAAAAGCCAAAACTAACTGAATGCTAAAAGTAGCAAAATACTATCTATAAGCTTAAAGTAGCAAAAGGCGACCAAGAAGCAAAATGTAGCAGAAGGCTAGCTAAAAGATACATTTCAAGAGGTAGCTAAAAATAGGAAATACTAGTTGATAGCTAAAAGTATCAAAATGCTATATGGAAGCTAAAAGTAGCAAAAGGCTGTTTGAAAAGGTTAGATAGAAGCTTTGCAAACATTTCTGAAAACACTGTTTTTTAAATGAAAAATAAAAACCAGAAAACTTTTATTTTGTTAAAAAAACAGGAACCTGATCAGATATCACCTAATAAATGAACAGATAATCTGATTTAAAATAAAAAGCTTCTTCCAGAAAAAAAATAATTTAATCTTTTAATGAAGTTTAATCCTCTTATTAAACATCTGTTTTTATATTTCACAGTTTTTCTCTCTTTTTGTTTTGTTTTTAAAGGAGATCAACGTTCGTCTGATAATCTGGAAGCTTTCAGAGATCCACCCGAGTGCCTCTGGTTCTGTTTATTTATTTACAACACTTCCTCCTCACAAACAAACAAACAAACAAACACATTATTTAATTTCTCTTCCTGTTTGTCTGTAAGGAAACTCTTCGGTACGTCACACAGCTGGCTGTTTTATTTGTTTATTTTTCAGCGTGGTAAATGAAACAGTACATTTTACTGATCCGGTTCTGGTTCTGACCATAACGTTCGACTCGGTGTGGAGCAGAATCAGAACGACACCAAACCTTTGAAGGAGTGATTCTAGTTTCGACACCACAACACAACWTTTCTGCTGAGTCATGCTGAGCAGCCAGACAGATTTATTGACCAGAAAACAGATTTTATCAGAGAATATTTAGGTTTTCAGGAGTTTATTCTGTAAAATATTCAGATCTAAAATACATCCTGARATTTTTAAGATTTACTCAGAGCTTGGAAYGATTCTGGCTTTTCTCTGATCCACACAGGGTCAGATATATACATACATACCACAGATAATTGGACAAATGTCCTTCAGCTCATGTGTCCATCAGCGAGGCTCTGGTAGAACTGAACTGGTTGGTTTCCTRGTTTCAGACCCAACTTTGGATCMGAATCCACAACTTGTCTGTCGGGTTGAGGTCAAGTCTTTCCGGAAGGGTCATTGTCCCGTTGGACCCAAGAACTTGGAGTTAGTCCACCTAACTTTGTCCCACATCTTGATGCTATCACCACCACCATGCCTGATTTGGTCCTCCAAATGTCCTTCTTGTGTCAGTCTTTGTCTCATTTGACCTTCAAACACATCTCCAGAAGAAATTAGTCTCATCCATGTGGACAGCTGTAGGTTTTAGTCCAGCTGGAAGCTTTTTTCTTGGTACATAGTGATGTAGAACTGTTCTCA